CCTGGTCCCCAAAAATGTAACAGTGACGTGCATTTTTCCAGGATAATGAACTCAAAGTCATCGAATGTAATCTACGAGTGTCGCGATCGTTCCCATTTGTCTCAAAAACGCTCGATTTCGACTTTGTTGCATTGGCTACACGAGCGATGATGAGCGTGGACAATCCAGCTATCGGCAGTTCGCTGAAGAGACATGGATTGTTAAGAGGCAAAGGTCGAGTTGGTGTGAAGGTAGGAACAATTCATGTGTTTTTGTTTTATTTACTATAAAAATTATCTTCATTATGACAACGTTTCGAGTGCGTTGATCTCATATATAAGTCTGCAGGCACCACAATTTTCCTTCTCACGTCTTGCTGGTGCTGATGTGATGCTGGGTGTGGAGATGGCCTCGACTGGAGAAGTAAATATTTTCTCTTATAATTTTGTATTTCGAATTTTTTCGTTTGCTTGCTGGTAAGAGCTCTTGCTATGTAGGTGGGATGCTTTGGAATCAATCGTCAAGAGGCCTATCTCAAGGCTTTATTGTCAACTGGCTTTACTGTACCGAAAAAGAACATATTTCTGTCGATAGGTGGATATCATGTGAGTTAATTCTGTTCAAACCATTAGCTTTACACAAGTTTGACCTCATTGCAGGCCAAAGCTGAGATGCTAAGAAGCGTTCAAATTCTGCAGAAGCTAGGATTCGATTTGTTTGGGTCAAAGGGAACAGCTGATTATTTCCAATCTAATGATATTAACATAAAAGCTGTTGATTGGCCATTTGAGGAAGGTTCAAGTGATGAGAAAACAGGAGCTGGGACAAGGTAGCCCATAACTCTCATTTTTAGTGATTTTTGAAGTTTCATTTTTTCAGATCAGTGGCAGAGTTTTTGGACAACAAAGAGTTTCACTTAGTGATCAATCTACCTATTCGCGGTTCTGGTGCTTATCGCGTGTCAGCGTATAGGTATGTCACCTGGCCACCACCAATTTTTCGAGCAGATTCACCGCTCATGTGTTTTCTTATTGGTTCAGTTATTTATTCGTTTTTTTTTATTTTCGTTTATTTTTTTGTCCAACAGTCATCTCACTTTCTTAGGACACATGGTTACAAAACCAGAAGGATGGCGATAGATAATGGAATACCTTTGATCACCGACATCAAATGTGCAAAGTTGTTTATTGAAGTGAGTTTTGATAGTCTTGGAAATCGTTCTTGTGGAATTGTATTTCTATGAGGTCTTGAAATTATACTGTTGTCTAGATGTTTCCTATGCTTTTGTAATACTTGATAATAGTAGAAAACTTTTGCGCAAAAGCGATTTCTCCGTTTTCAGGCCCTGAGAACGGTCGGACCACTTCCTTCAGTGAATTCACAAATTGACTGTATAGCCAGTCGAAGTCTGAAACGGCTACCTGGGCTCATTGACATTCATGTGCATGTTAGGGAGCCTGGAGCAACACATAAGGTAATGATCAAAGTAACCAATGATTTATGGTGGCATCGATATCTGTTTTAGGAGGACTGGACTACATGTACACGGGCAGCCTTAGCTGGAGGAATAACTCAAATCTTAGCTATGCCCAACACAAATCCTCCTCTTATCGATTTGGAAAGTTATCAGATGACTGAGAAGGTATGTGAGGCTCTTCTGCAACGACTAGGCGTTTTGTATCGTTATCGGCCTATTACATCCTTCACTTTAGCTGGCAGCAAAGCAAGCGGTCGTTGATTACGCTCTTTACGTTGGTGCCACCCCTCGGAATGCTCGTGTGGCTGCGGATATGGCTGGTATGGTAGCTGGTCTGAAAATGTTCCTCAATCAGACTTTCTCTACCCTGCAGATGGATTCGGTCTCGGACTGGGTCAAGGTAAACTTTACAAAGTTCCAATCAGAGCTCATTTGACTTTTTTGCAGCATTTCGAGTCATTCCCGAGCTCTAGACCGATTGTCTGCCATGCTGAGAGGCAGACACTGGCAGCAGTGCTGTGTGTGGCTCAAATGGCTGGTCGTGCAGGTGCGTTTCATTAATTTTGA